TAACGCTTAACGTAACTCTTAACGTAACGCTAAACCTAACGGTAACCCTTAACCTAACCCTAACCCTAACCCTAACGCTTAACGTAACTCTTAACGTAACTCTAACCCTAACCCTAACCCTTAACCTAACCCTAACCCTAACCCTAAACCTAACCCTTACCTTTATGTGAATCGGCTTGCTTTAATTTTATTTTAATTTTATTTTAATTTATTTTTAATTTTTTTCGTCGCGCTGCTGATGACGTCACGTACGCGCTTTAATCGGGCGCGCTTTAGTGGACCGCGGTTTTGACGGGTCGCGCAAAAATGCCCAGTCTTGTCTTCGATCTGCTCACTTCCCTCTAGGAAAGCCACCTCCACCTGTTCTTTTTCTGCTATGTATCACAGAGTAGCCTTTCCTCACTTGCGCTAGTTTAAGAGATGCTGCCTGTTGTGCTTCATTTCCTCCTTGTCAAAGCCTCCTGCCCACTTAACTCCCAGGCACAACGCAAAAACACCTCGTCCCCCTGGTCACTGTCCTTCATGGCAGAGCGCTTCCATAATGGGGCCATTGGTAGGGAGAAAAAATGGGTTCTTTTTTTAATTACAGTATATTGATGAAACAATAAAATCCCTGCTAATTGGTTTATTTGTTTTTAATCAGATGAAACTGACTACCTTTCTGCCCTTTCCAAGCCCCAACCGTTTTCTTCTTTCCCTTAACATTTTCCCCACGTTTGATTCCTTCAATCGGGCTGTGGGAAATCTGTCGCCACCCTAATATCAGACGGCCACGACCAAAATGAAGGTATCTGAAACCCCCCGATTTCCTAAGCCCCCTTTGGTCCCAGCTGGCTCACACAGGAGAAAGAAGCAGTTCCAGGAATGCAGTTTGTCTACTGTACAAATGGTAGAGAAAATTATGGGGGAAAAAACCCCTGACTTGGTTCTTATAGCTTCAGAGAGATTGGACAGAAACCTTACAGCAAAATATGAACTGAAATGGGATTCCAATAGTTATTGAACCATAATCCTTTTGTTACATCTTATTTTAGTTGTTTATTAGTTAGCTTTATCCCACCTTTATTATTTTAGAAATAATCCAGGGCAGTAAAAATACCTAATGCGCCCTTTTCCTCCTATTTCCCCCACAACAACCCCCCGTGTGAGGTGAAGGAGGTGGGTTGGGAAAGTGATAGTTCTTCATGGCTCAGCTGGGACTAGAATTCACACTTCCCTGGTTTCTAGCCTGGTGCCTTAACCCAGTGTTTTTCAACCTTGGCAACTTGAAGATGTCTGGACTTCAACTCTTAGAATTCCCCAGCCAGCGTTCGCTGGCTGGGGAATTCTGGGAGTTGAAGTCCAGACATCTTCAAGTTGCCAAGGTTGAAAAACACTGCCTTAACCACTAGGCTCAGCTAGCTCTTTGATCTGCTGTGCTGAACTGCAATTAGAACTAAAATTATAAATGGTTTCACAAAGTGTTCATCCATGTGGAGAGAGAAGATGGTACATTAGAGCTTCATCTTCAAGGCCCTGCTTATCCAAGCCCTCAGCCCCCGGCCTTTCCTTAAATGCTGGGACTGCTCTTTCTCGTAGCTACGTCTTTTAAATGTTCAGATTAAAAAGTTTCAAGTAAAAAAAAACTTTAAAAAGCTTTAAAAATAAGGAAAGAAAGGGTGGAAGTAAAAAGCAACCTCACATTATTAGCATATTGTGTGTTGTTAGAGCAGCTAGAAGACCACAATGCAATTGCACAGTTTGGCTTACCAAGATGCCAGTCCTATCGGAGGACAGGCTTGTGTGCTACCCAAGGAAGGCCACAGGATGGCGAATTTGCCACAGGAACAAGATCAGCGTCTCTGCCTGCAGCATCGCACGAGGATCTCTCCCTCTCTGAAGCTCCCTCACCAACAGACACCACAAGCAGAAAGGAACGGAGCCATCGGGAATCTGGCTGCTTGCACAGAGCACCAGCTCATCCCCGCACCCAAATGTGGGGGTCCCCTATATATCTGCTGGGTCTGCTTTTATAAACATTTATAAAAGGTTTTTTTTTTAAAAAAATTAAATTAAAATTATTATACATGTAAGGCACTTTTTAAAAATTCATTTTAGGGTAGGGGTGATATCAAGTAGTGCCTCACAGAAAGCTGTTTCTAGAGAATGTTCAGAATAGCATTTTACCCTCAAATTTAGAGATAAAGGGATTAAAGTAGATATAGAGGGATTACTAAACATACTTTATTTCTGTATCTGCTCCATCCACATACTGTATATGTAAAGCAGAGTCACATTTAGAAAGGATCTATAAAGTCCTATAAACCTATAGGGCTAAAAAGAGCAAGAGGAGCAAGATGTTTGTATTGCAGACCAAATCATCTGGTTCTTTATTTGGAAAATTCAAAACTTTTGGCCTTTCCCAACAGAAGCACCCGACAATCCTGAAGACCTAGAGGGAACACCTTATAGTAGCAGGTTATTGCATTTAAATACCCTTAGGTAGTTTTCCACTCTAAAGACACCTGGACGTGCTACAGAATCACGTAGCACAGCTAGCCCTTATGTGCCTTTAAATCCTTTTTTTAATGCAAACTGGGGCCAATTAATCCCTGCAGCAGAAAAATATTTTGAGGCGAAACCCCTGGCACAAATCATTTATGGGGCACATTTGTGTGTCAAGAAGGAAGCACCTGAAACAGTGCAAACAAAATTTTTGGCGTTCAAAATTTTATTGATTTTAACAAAGCATAAAATACAAAACTATAAAGAAAAATGAAGGAAAAGGGGGAAGAGAGAAAAGTGCAGGGTACGGGGGGGGGGGGGAAGCAATAAATTCTGACTCCTTTCTGTGCAGTAGAATAAGATAATAATGCAAAACCTCAACATTTTACTTTTATGTAATAGTGTTGTAAGTTAGCACACACCCCTTTCATAGAAGAATGAAATATTCTAGGAAATATTAAAAAGGAAGAATATTATATTTACCTGGATGAGGACTGGAGAAACATGTTTTTTTTAGGCAGGGAACAGACTCAATTTTAATACCCCCCCCCCCAATAGCTCACAGCAGATGTCAGCACTTAAGAGATAAAGAGATGGTCTATTCATAAGCAAATATCCTCACCCAGGATCCAACAAAGGTGGGATTAGCCCTCAGCCATAATAGGAATTGCTCAAAACCCTCTTCATTACATCATCACCTAGCAAGATTCAACCAAGCCTGGGACTTAAGACAACCTACAAAGTTACCCTGCATGGCCCCATGGGAGTCTGACAACCAATCAGAATACATTTCTTTCACAGGAAGAGGAAGCAAGTTCAAAGCTAAGAGAGGGCATAAATATATCTCACTCTCCACTCCATGCGATCAGCTACCAGGGACTTCAAACCATGTGGTCCTGTTCACCATTAAACCATCCTTCCAAGCAGCCTCCATGTTTCCAGTGTTTTTCTCCCCTCTTGGAACTGAACACAGATGGACATTCCCTTCCAACAACTGTATATAGTAGCGCTGTGATAGCTAACCGTTTTTGGCTCCCGTGCCAAAAGCGGGGGGAGCACAGGAAGGTTATGTGCAGGCGTGCCACTCCCATAATGCTATGCGCATGACCCCCCCATGCATGCCCTTGCGTCCAGAACCAGAGCCCCCCTGGTTTTGGCACGAGTTTTCAACCCTCCTGAGGTTGCAGAGGCTTTCCAGGAGCCTGTGGAGGGCGAAAACAGCCCCCTGCCCGCCCCCCAGAGGCTCTCTGAAGGGCACAAAACAGACCTACGGGGAACCCGGATGTTCAAGAATGGTGACTTCCGGTTTGTCCATAGGGAGGTTTTTCACCCTCCGGAGCCTTCAGGGAAGTGTCCTGAAGGCTCCGGAGGTCGAAAATCGGCCCTTACAAGCAAACCTTGGGAAGTCAGTTCCCAAACTTCTGGTTTGCCCGTAGGGCTGGTTTTTCGCGCTCTGGAGACTTCAAGGAAGTCTCTGGAGGGCGAAAAATGGCCTCAAAAGAAGGCCGAAATCAGTTGGCCAGCACGCGCATGTGCGCTGGAGCTGACAGGGTTAACGCCTTGTGTACCCTGACAAATGGCTCCGCGTCCCACCAGTGGTTCACTATCATGGTACTAGCATTTCTTTTAGACAGACATAGACAAACAAGGCGTAAAAGATAAAACCATCTTCCATTGCATACAGTTTATCGATTGGTCACAAGGTTTTTATGCATTCTTTCCAGAGTCATCACTTGCAATTTACAGTATATGAATCACATAATATAAAATTGAATATGTTTGTATACATTATTATCATTATACCTCATTTGTTTGACTATCACTATTATTCCTTCATTTTAAATGAGATATANATTGCTGGTCTTTGACCGTAATAAAGATCTTACTTACTTACTCTTGGGGCTGATGGAGTGAAGTAAGCATCCGTGGCCTGATCTGTCTTGCCATTTCCCATGGCAAGACCAGCAGCTACAATCCACTGCTGAAGTCTTCTGCTGGGCTGAAAAACAAACAATCACGGCAGTTCAATCCTTGTAGTGGAAAACAGAGTCTGATGAAGGATCTCATTGGCCTCTGAGAATAATTCTCATACAGACTGAACATCTGGAAGGTGACAGATTGTGGGAAAGGTACCATTTACACAGAAAGCGAAAACTCTAACATGAGCTTCTCTTTGTTATTCTAACTTTATTTGCTATCGGTTTCCTTTTTTTTATTCTGTCCTATTTCATTCCTCAAACTGTCGCCAGGGGGATCTTGAGGGTCAGAGGCCAACTAGCAGGGAATGTGGGGAAGGGTTGAAACCACAATCCAGCTGAGGTGAGATCTGAAGGAGGCTCGGCTGTTGTGTTTCTCCAGGGTGTCCTGCATAGAGGCCGGTTGGAAGAAGGACCATGAAAAGCTGCAAGTGAGTGAGGAGAAGGCCAAGGAACTGGTAAGAGCCCCCCAGAGGCCATGTCTAGCAAATGGGATCCAGCCTATGCAAAGCCTGTTGAAAGGGTGGTATAAATAGCAGAAAGATGGTTCTGAAGTATGAACAACAGGCTGAAAATCCAGCACAGGGCTAGCTAACATCCCCCCTGGGTGTTATGGAAGCGGAGGTGTCAAAAAAAGAGAAGATGGCAGTTAGGGGAAGGCAATGCAACCCCCCACCCCTTTTGCATGTGCATTGACACTGCATGCAGATACAACAGGAGTGAGGTCTGCACTGTGGCATTCACAATGTTGCTTCATTTCACCCGCCGGTGGCAGATGCCATTTTGCATTCCAGGGAGAATTTCGATAGGACAAACTCAAGCTTCTGTGCTTGAATTTGTACTTCACTTCTTCATATCATGCACTGCTAAACTTCTTGTGCTCACAGAGGTGGCAGCCCTATTTCCTGAAGATTAATTTGCTTTAGATTAAGAAACGGCGTGGTGTGGCTGACTCTCTCCAGCGTGTGTTTTGTAGGATCTGCAGCTCTCCAGAATGGAAAGGGACCACGATCAGCGTTTCCATGCTGCTAGCCAGATGTTGGGGTGTCGAGATAACCAACCACATTACAGCAACAACTCTCAGGGCTTGTGTGGATAATAAGACTGAGAATGGGAAAGCCATGTTTTCTACACAGCTCATGTATGGAATCCAGAGAAGTCAAGAGGATGGAAGAAGTGTCTTCCACTAACAAGGACAGCATCATGTTAAGAGTTCTCAACAGTATTCAGCCATTGCTTCGTCTTCTGATATCCCCCTTCCTGAAAGTTTATTCACACACATTCCGGCTTAAAGAGACCCCATTTACCATTTCCTGGGTACATATCCTCACTACGGAGCTGCCTTGGCTTGAAAATGTTTTCCCTGAGAAAATGGGAGAAGATCTCAGTTCCAGATCATTCCCAACTATGGGCAAAGAATCTCCAGAGCTTGGAAATACGTCGCTCTTCCAGTTGGCTGAATGACTCCATAGCGGTTGGTTCTATGGCTGCCAGAAAGGCCAGAGACGCATTCATTGTGCACTTCTTGCCTGTGCTTGTGGCTTGGTCAGGGAAATAGATCTCTCTGCCCGCTAATAGTCCAAATGAGGGCCTTCAGTGAGTTCATAATTATNATTTGTGCTGATAAATAAATAAAGGGAGACTAGTATAGATCTATTTCAAGCTATTTAGCTCTCATCAGCTAGCCATACCCTTACTGGATTTAATCTTATATATATATATATATATATGTGTGTGTGTGTGTGTGTGTGTGTGTGTGTATGTGTGTGTGTGTGTGTGTGTGTGTGCGCGCGCGCACCCAAATATGGGAGGAAGATCACTACTTCCATTCTCTGTCCATCGGCTCGTCACAGGAGACCATCCACACAGAAACCCAATATTTTTACTGTTGCCTTTGTTACATTTTTGTATTTGTCCTTTATTTATTTATCAGCACAAATACACACACACACACACACACACACATATAATTAATCTCATTTACTTAATTTTACTTTGACATTATCTTTTTTCAAATGTTGCTGATTGTTTACACAGCATTTCATTTCATATACAAAGCAGAGGCTGGGGGACATCTCATCCTTATATACTTGTAGGCAAGAAATATGGAAAGGAACAGACTAATCTCCATGCTCCACTGTGCCAAAGCCAGCGGGCAGATGACCTTCGTCACAGAATCTTGGTACCTTGAAAATTGATTGACCTTTGCTTTCCCAGATTAGGACTCTGCCTAATAGTCCAGTAGAGATAAGTAAACAGCCTGAAGCAACGTTTCCCAACCATGGCGATATGATCAACAGAGGGAGAGTATCAAGATCACCACTTTATGCTGCCTTGGTAATACCTCGCTTAGAACTCTGCAATCGGTTTTGATCACCGTGATACAAAAGAAATGTTGAAACTCAAGAAAGAATACCAGTTCCCCAGTCACCCACGCTGTTGCTGGCATGTTTTTTCGTCCCTTTTAAACGTTCTGCACATGCGCAGAGCAATTTACAGGCAACTGTGCACGCAGCGAACCAGCAGTAACGCCGGCAGCAGCCCACCCCTGAACCAGGTCTGTTTAGTCTAATGAAGAGAAGGACTAGAGGTGACATGAGAGCATCCAATATTTCAGGTGCTGTGACAAAAAAGAGGGGGAGTTGTCAACCTATTCTCCAAATCTCTGAAGGTGGGACAAGAAGTAATGGATGAAAACCTATCAAGGAGCAATCAAACCTAGAATTCATCCTGTATGTTGTTGTTGTTTTTTCCACTGGCTTGGCAGTTTGTTCAGGTGTTGGAGCAGTTTCTTCAGCTTGTTCACATTACTTGTTTTCTTTTTAGTCAATATTTCTAGATGTTGCATTTCCACATCTGTGAAAACTTTATTATGGATGATGAAACATCTTTGATCCATTAATCTTTGTAAGGTTATGTCACTTTCCGCAGTTGCTTCATTCTTTTTTGAAATCCCTTGGTTGTTGGTTCTGCCTGGTAATAATATTTGATGATTTCTCTATTTTCTTCGGTTGTCCAAGTTTTGCTCTTTGGTTCCAGCTGCTTTGCAGTTGCACATCCTGGATCCCTGGCAGTAACAACTGAGCCCCATAGTCCCTTTTTCGACAGATGGCCAGGAGCCACAGCATCTGACGCAACCCTTGTTGACTTGGCACCGACCGACCTGATGTGGAATTTTGTTGATTCTTTGTCATCATTACTGATGGTAGGTGCCTGGGTTGGTTCTCGGTGGCTAAGCCACTACTGATCCAAAGACGACAATCCCATAACCATAGGAACTGCACCGGATAGCTGTCCAGGCCCAGCCACTGCAGGAAAGTGGTCCTCCTTCCTGTTTGGTGATAGGAAGGCAGGATCAGATATTATTATTATACAATTGTATCACAGCGGCCAGTTGTTTCGCCGGATTTGGCATTGGTTACTAGTCGGGCCCCACCCAGGGGCCTAGGACATCGTAACGTATTTTCGTAATATGCATGCAGATCCAAGCAGTGCGGCTTTTTGCATTTGACTGATGATGATGATGATGATGATGATGATGATGATGATGATGATGATG